CTGTGCTTGGAGTTGGTTTTATAGAAGGAAATGGGTGGGTGCCCCCCCAGAGTGTCACCCCATCAGTTGTTCTCTGCCACTGACCACCACCTCTGTCTTGGCTGTGGCTTATGGGTCTGGAGTGGGGCACCTTTGCTTGGGCCATGAGGACCCCCTGGATGCACCCAGAAAGAATTTCAGAGCGAATAGCATTTCTCTCTCTTTTTTTTCTTCCTTCCTTCCTAACTTCCTTCCACTTTCTTTTTTCTTTTTCTTTCTTTTCTGTCTTTTCCTTCCTTCCTTCCTTCCTTCTTTTTCTTTGTTCTCTTTTTCTTCCTAACTTCCACTTTTTCTTTTCTTTTTCTTTCTTTTGTCTTTTTCTTCCTTTCTTCCTAACTTCCTTCCACTTTTTCTTTTCTTTTTCTTTTGTCTTTTTCTTCCTTTCTTCCTAACTCCCTTCCACTTCCTTCCTTTCATTCCTTTCTTTCTCCTTCCTTCTTGTCTTTCTGTTTCTTTCTTTCTTTCTTTGCCATCTCTTTTTCTTCCTTCCTAACTTCCAGTTTCTTTCTTTCTCTCTCTCTTTCCTTCCTTTTTTCATTTTCTTCCCTCTTCCTCCTCTTCCCTCCAGAAGTTGGGGGGGGGGGGGCTCCATCACCGGAGGCTTTTTAGAAGAGATGGAGCAGCCATTCGTCTGGAATGGTGTGTAGGGTCTCCCGCTTGACCAGGGGGTTGGACTAGAAGACCTCTAAGGTACCTTCCAACTCTATTATTCTAGAGTCTAACTCTGCCTCATTTACCCAGAGGCCACTAGATGGCGCCAAAGGAACAACCACACTGACATTCCCAGCCTCACCAGTCAGCAGCTCCACTAGAGGGCAGCCTTCCCTTTCAAATGAACGGTGCAAATAAGAGAATTTATTGTGCGGAGTTTTCGACAAAAATCCAGAGTGCTGGGAAGTGGGGGAAAAAGCCGTGAGGTGAGTGAAACCTTTGCAGGGTTTCATTAAAGGTGGAAAACTGAAATTGCTGTACATCAATCAAGCATCACTCAGGTGTGGAGCGGATGGGGGTGAGTGTGTCCAACCTGGGACACTTGGAAGGCTTGTGGACTTCAACTCCCAGAATCCCTCAGCCAGCATGCGCTGGCTGGGGAATTCTGGGAGTTGAAGTCCACAGGTCTTCAAGAGGCCCAAGTTGGCCACCTCTGGGTGTAAACACACCTTGGAGATGCAACTTGCATGAATAAAATTCATCCGAAGGTTTTCCCAAAGATTTTGCCCCTTTCTTCTCCCCCTTCAAATCAAACCTACTTTTGTCTTTGCAAGATTAAAATGGCCCAGAGGGTGAAGACTTTGGTCCAAAGTGCTACATTCCTTATCCGTACAGTTAAGAAGATTTTACAACATTGCTTTCGACAAACACACGGTGTTCTCCTGGGAGGTGTCTGCCTTTGGGGTGCCAGGCGCTGGCCGTGGGCCACTTTTCCTAGGCTACGGCGTTAGGCTTGGCCAAGTGAGTTGTGTTGGGTCTTCTTCAGCCCTGGCACCACCTGGGTAAGGCAGCCTCTCCTTCCTCCCTTGCCTGGGCTGTTTGGAGCATGTGTCCAGAAAGCCATTCGGAGCATAATTTGAACATCGTTTCGCAAACGGCACCCCTGGTGGCCTCAATCCTTTGTCTGGAAGATGGGGTGCCAATTCATTTGCCCAGGGTGCCACATGAGAACCTGGGACTCTGGGGGAGGGCTGGGAAGGCTGTGTAGGCATGTATACCTGCACATACATAAATGGGGGGGGGCGGGGCGGGGGGGAAATAGCATGTGTCTTCAAAAGATGAAAGCAATCCCAGTGGCTGGACAGGCAGAGCCAAAGGGCCGGAGGGCTGTAAAATGCCCAGGTTTCGTCTGGAGTCTCGGCCAACGTGCTTTCTGACCATCCTGGCTTGTGGCAAGCCATCCCTTGGCCCCTGGCATCGTGAGCAGGTACAGGATGGCATTTCAAGAGGCACTTAGGTACAGTTGGAGGATCTCGGGGGGTGGGGGGTGGGGGGGCTCCCTGTGGGGCTGGGAAGCCAGGGAATTTGCCCAAGGGATTTCAAGCCAAGCTCTGCCACAGCCCCTCCCCCGGTCTGGCTTGGGGTCTAAACCAGAGCGATGGGCTTCGAGCCCGAAGGGTTCAGGTAGGTGGGGGCCGGTCCCGTGTCCAGTTCCAGGAAGGCGGAGTAGAGCGTGGTCAGTTGAACATCCGGTAAGTTGTGGTGCTGGGGGAGCTTCTCCCCGCCGTGGTTGGCATCCGCTGGGCAGGGGGCCAGGAAGTCCGGCTGGGCAGCGGTCGGGGAGGCCGAGATGAGGCCCAGGGGCTCCGTCGCCAGGCTGTCATCCTTCAGCGCCTCCCAGAGGGTCCCTGCGGGGAGGTTGACAAGAGACCAGGTGGGGCGGGGGGCGCGCAAGGGGTGGGGGACCATTTTCCTCTCCCCCCCCAAAGGAAAGCCAGAAAGGGGTCAGTGGGCGGTGGGGGAGGAGCATACAGTGCAGGTAATCCTCGACTTATAACCATTCATTTAGTGACCATTCACAGGAGCTGTGCGATGGCCTAGAGGTGGAGCTCTCCCCTCCCAATCAGGAGGCTGTGAGTTCGATCCTGGGTAGAAGCAGCTATTTCTCTCTCTGGGCACAAGGGGAATATTATCTGCTGAGAAAAAAAAACTCCGCCCTGGGGACAGGAAGGGCATCCGGCCATTCAAACACTCTGCTCCATTCATTTGCCCAGACTCCACCCCGCAGGGGATTATGGGGTCGTTAAAAGAGGGTGGGGATGATTTAGTGACCGTTCAAGATTACAACTTACGGCCGCTGCTCGGCCACTGACTCGTATTTATGTCGCAGTGTCCTGGGAGGGGGTGTCACGTTAACCCCCTTTGCGACTGTTTGACCAGGAAAGTCAAGGGGGGGGGGAAGCCAGATTCACTTAACGGCCATGGGACTAACTGAACGATGGCAGGGATTCGTTTAAGAGCCCCTGCCAGGAACGGGGACCAAACGGGGCAATAATATCCTCTTAACCACGCATTTCGGGCCTGAATTGTGGTCGTAAGTCGAGGACTGCCTGTATGGAGAGAAAGGGGAGAGTTGGCAGTGCCCTCGGCTTGAAGGGCATTTGCGAACGCCCCACCCCCACCCCCGAGAGAGCTAAACCGTGCCTGGGCCCACCTGCATCTGTGCCAGCCATCAAAAGAGCCACCGTCCCCCGTGGCTGCCCTTGCCAGGGCTGACCGGATGGCACATGACCCCACCTCCTTCCAAAAGCCATTTTGGGGGAGCGGCTGAGAGAAAGGCTGTCTCTGCTTGCCCCTTTTTTTCAGCTGCTCCCCCAAAAGGGGTCCAACCAGAGCAGGTGGCTCCAAACTTGTCCACTTCAAGACTGGTGGACTTCAACTCCCAGAATTCCTCAG